GTCACCTTGAACTCTGCAATCAGTTGAGAAAGATTGAGACATATTAATCAATACTAAGCATAGCTTTTTGTTGCAGTCTTATTATCAAAATATTTTGACATCGTTTTCAGGCATCCAGTTTTGAATATTACAGATTAATTACGCATTTTCATTTATCTGAGAATCATAACAATTTTCCTCCTGAGTTTGCCTCCTCTTCTTTTCAGTGCTGTACTGTTGAGCTCTGCAATTTGCTCAATTGTTTTATGCCAAACCATGGTGAATGGTGTCCTGTTATGCTGTCTTCAAGAAACACTTACATTGTTATGCTATAAACATTTTTTTCCAATTCCTCTCTCCTGTCTGCAGACACAAGATGAGAATTTGTCTCGCCTCCTTGAAGTGGTTCCCTCATTTTACTGTCACTGCTGCCCTGCATTTATCACCTGTCTATTCTCTCACTCCTAACCCTTTCTTCCTCTATTTCTTTGTCAGCCAGCCTTGGCCCAGCTGCTGTTATATATATGTATATATATATATATGTATATATATATTTTATTTTATTTTTTTTAAATGTGATATAGAGTTGATTGCAAGAGGACTGTTTCATAAAAAAATTCTCAGGCAACATTTTTTCTCTCAGGCTGCATGTGAAATCCCATCTCATTTGTCCTGACTGGCAGAGCCAAACCCCAAATGTGGCCATAGCTCCACACATAAGTGTCTGTATCCTGAAAGTATACATAACATATTGGTTTTAGCAGTTCATTGGGGCACTACAAAGCCTGGGAGTAAGTGCTACTTGAAATGCTCAGTTTACAGGATCCATTTTTTATTTTTTATTTTTTTGTAGGGGTGGGTGAGAGTGCCACTGAGTGATCAGAAATGAAATCACCTAAAGATGCAGGAGGACTGATGGAAATGTCCTCATTGGCCCTTCCGGGAATATGTAATCATGATCATACAGCAATAAAAACAAAATAAACAATGCTATTACTTGGATACGCTTACAATATTGTCCAGATTTAGCAATAGATCCATATAATTATCCATAACTGCACAAATGGCTGCCAATTAACGTCACTTCCCCTCATATTTTTATATATTTTTTTCTTTAAATAAAAGGCAATGAATAAAACCTGTCCCATTGATTTTACTGAGTATTACTGATTTGCTCCTATGAGTGTGTGTAAATAGGCTTAAGAAAAAAGCCCAAAAGGTATTTTGAAGTTTTATTCTCAATTCCGAATTGAAATTCAAGTGAAATTTAAACACATGTCAGTTTTACTGGAAACTCATGCAAAACTAAATTCAGCTAAATTCCTGAATAAAACATGTGCAATAATTTATTATGTCAGCTATCTTAAGCAATCCTTGGGTTTATCTTGACAAGTCTGACTGTGATGAAAGAACTGTCATAATTGCACACATTTTCTGTAAACGAATCATTGCACCTAATGGCTCTTAATTGTTTCTGAAATTCTTAATAGGTGCCAGACTCTGGGAATCTCTTCATTATCACAGTTGGCAATGGTGTCATTATTTTGTGAGTTAGCAGTAACAGTAAAAGGAAAGAGGTGTAGACAGTTCATGGATGAGCTCCCATGAGTCAACATTAACAGGTTCCTCAGATAAATTCTGTTAAGAAGTAATTAATCATGCATATGACTTAGGAGACCAAGCAACGTAAACTGAAATTGCTTCAAGGATTTATCCTCCTACTGGGTTCCATGCAATGATGAAATTAAATCTGCTGATTGGAAGCAGGATCTCCATGCGCACTAGCAGGTGCACGATTTCCAGTCGAGTCTGTCGGCTCTAATAGCCAGTGTGGCAGCTGAATTCCTCACCACATTCATGCGTTGCGACATATATTAAAACAAAGACAGCAACTCTCAGAGACAGTACCAATGACCCTGTTAGACTGTAAACACACTTCTGTCTATGTAGACAATTACATCATTTGTTCCATGTGTGAGTTTTTATTGAGCAGCACTGACGTACATCTCTTAAGATCGTGGCAGGAAGTACAGTCCGGTGGGCAAGAGAATATATACAAAAGGAAAAAAAGCAGACACTCTGTCGCCAGCAGGAAGGGGAATATTTTAACCCGTAAGAGATGGCTCATCTTGCTATGGGCACTTGTTCCCATAGCAACAGGAGCTGGGAGTTTCATCAGGTTGGCTGGTTAGAAATAGGGGATCACGGGACATAAGAGGGGTCAGCACAGGGCGTGCAACCTAGTAGCCACCATCGTCAACCTTCTTTCCTTCACACTTGAACTCTCAAGTACAAGCCTGAGTAAACCCTTGTATTCATTCATTCATTCATAAATAAATGCACAGGGAAACATCAGCTAGCCTGCAATTACTACAATTACTGCATTTTCAAGGTAAATAAAATGATTTACCATATCTGAGCAATAATACACTATATTCCTTTTTGCTAGATAAAGCAACTATACACTGTCTTACATTTATTTATTTAAATTTAAACCGTCTTTATGTGGACGCTAACTTTAACTACCAGGCCCATAAACGGTAAATACAGTTAGGTTCATTTGGAAAATTGTAATTTTGCTTCCACCATTATGGCTTTTAAATCAAACTTTCAGGATCTGATTGAAGTGTAGACCTTCAGCTTTAATTCAAGGGTTTTAATAAAATTGTCGTGTTAACCGCTTAAGAATTACAGACATTTTTATGCATAGTCCCGTATTTTCAGAGGCTCAAAGGTAATTGCAAAATTGACTGACAAGCAGTTTCATGGCTAAGTGAGGCCTGTTCCCTTATTATTCCATGACAAATTAAGCTCTTTATCAGCCTGTTTCCTTTGCCTTGAGAAACTCTTGGGTTGCTTTTAGAATGTGCCTTGGGTCATTAACCATATCTGCTGTGAAGCAAAGTCTGATCAGTTTTGCAGCTATATCTGAAAAGAGAGTATAGTCCTGTACACTTCAAAATTACCCTGCTACTTCAGTCATATCATCAATAAATGCTAGTCATCAGCTTCCACTACCAGCCATACATAACATAACATGGTCTTCGCCAGTTTTGACAGAAAACGTGATATTCTTTAAATCAGGAGCTGTTTCTCTCTCTCCTTTTTTCTTCCCATCAGCCTGATACAAGTTAAAAATGGTTTCAGCTATCCAAAGTTTTTCCAGAACTATGCAGGCTCTTTAAGATGTTTTCTGGAAAAGTCTTCTTCTAAACCTTGTATATTTCCATTCATGTGCATGTTTTAGTTGTAGTCTTTGACACTAAAAGACCTCCATGCTCCAGAATATGCTTCACTTGGCTCAATGTTTTGAGCGAATTTCCTTAACCATAGAAAGAATTCTGTGATCCTCCACTTTAATTGTCTTCTGGGTATTCTAGACTGTAGTGTAACTGTGCTGCCAGGTGCATTTATTCTTTTTAAGATTATATTGATTTGGCCACTCCTAACATTTTACTCTCTCACTGTGATAGGCTTATCTGAGCAGCTGGATAGAGTAGTGGTAAGACAAATGATAAAGCTTATTTGTTGTTTGTTGGGGTTTTCAGTCTCCTTCACTTGGATTGACATCTTATTGGACCTCATATCATATAAATTAAGAATTCCAGGGGACAGATACAAAATACAAGTTCAACACTTGGAATAAACTCCCGAATCTTTTATCTTCTTGATTTGTCTTGTAATAATCAGGGAACAGGTCTCACCAGGCCATTAAACTGCTTGCCAGTCGATTTAGTTTTGGGCCTCTGAAATTGGAGGACTGTGCATAGGAACAGCTCATGAGTAAGAAGTGAAGAAGTGACTCAGAAACTGAGAACACTGCATGCTCATGTAGTAGCACCTTGTCAAAGTTAAGAAAACATGCCTGACAGCATACACTACTTTATTGCCTGTTTTAGTCTAGGCTTTAAACTGTTTCTGAGAAACTCATTAGGAAACTGTTTACTGAGGTCATAGACTAAGTGAGCAGATGGGTTGTTTTCTCAAATGTACTTTTTCACTTCAGCTCTGCACATTGTTGGGAGAATCAAGTTTGGGCACTATCCAAAGTTACTTTTTTCACGTGTAGCACAAAAAAGGAGATTGGTTTTATTAAACATGGACTGAATGTGATTCACTGGACAGTTATTTGAGCTATTCTCCCCTCATCAAAGGGACTTTGTACTATGGAGCACACACATTAAAGACTTTTTAACGTTTGTGTCAACTGTGTCGGACAGTTGCATTTGCATTTACATTCACCCACGCTGGGAAATACCTAGAAAAGTTCAGGGCTGTAGAATTTGTTTTGTACCAAGAAGATACACCCCCTGCTGGCCATGAGAAAGAATCAAGGTTTAAGGAATTCCTGGAATGGGTTCATTTTTCAGCCTCAGAGGCTATGTCCATTATTCAAATACAACTTATAACAAGATCTCAAATCAAATTTTAATAATCTATAATAATCTGTTTCCTACCCTACTTAAACACACAATTCATCCTGACACACTTTTATAACACACTAATTCTCAAATGTGATTAAACCATCTATCCTGTCTTCTCTCAGACACCAGTCTTTACTCTTTTAAACTGAAATTTCAATCACGAGTCTGATAGACCACCTACTCACCCCCTGTGCATCCCTCATAGCTGGAGCTTTGACACATGAAAGAGCAGGCTCGGTAAATCCTGACATTTCATTTCACCTGCTTCACAAGAAACTTCACTGGAGTATTGTGAAAAAAAAACCCACTGCTGATATTTCACTGTAAACAAGGCACAATGCTGTTGCTGTGTTCCAAACATTCATTCATATCGTGACAGTGTGATACCTGTCTATATTTCAACAGAGGAATGACAGCTGGAAGCAGAAAGACCCCTAATCCTCTAGAACAAGCAAACAGATTTCAGTAGATGTGTGTAGATGCGTGTATTTGTGTGAGAACATGGGATATTATCTGTCACCTGGGCAACAGGTGTACACTGAACACAGACACGTTCAAGCACTTTGGCTGTTTTTACGGGTGTCTGTGGAGACTCACTCTTGACAGTAGCAGTCCTGGTGCAGTTGTACAGAATAGCCAGCTCTCCAAACACCTTTCCTGGCCCCATGGTGCAGAGCTTCAGGCTCTCCTTCGTCACCTCCACCCTCCCATCTGAAACATGCACAAAAATGGAAATAAACCATTAGTAACAATGATATTCAAATTTGACACTTATTTTCTTGCCTGACTACCCAAATCTGTAAGTCCAATACTACATTAAATATGTGCTGCAAATAGCGATTCAGTGATGAAATGGAGTGGCTGATAGATGTCTAAGGGTTTTTATCACATTTTTTAGGGGCAACCAGGCTGAATGCTCACTCGGCTAGAAAAAAATATGATTATTTTGCAGTGCATGCATCTCAAACTACTCCCGGACTCATGCCAGAGCCTGTGGATGAACAAAAACAAAAAACTCTACAAACCTGTCAGCTTATGTTACCACCACTAACAGAATCACAAATAATCCTGTATGTAAGGATTAGTATGATCATTGTCCAAATCTGACCTTTCATCTAGTAGGATTAATGGTTAATTAAACAATGGCTGGCTACAAAGCTTTCTGTTTTTCTATTAAATTTTAGGTGTATACTGTATCTCATCCTGTAGTTTTGCTTAGTACTGTGTTCTGTGAACAAGTGTTCTGCCAGAGCAAAGGAAATTAATCAACAAACATGATGTTACTGCTAATCACACTATTGTCTCATTCTCCCGCATGTTAAAGATTGACCATGAACATAACTGAGATTCTATCAAGTTTATTTCAAATGCAGAGGTTTGGTTAAACTGTTGCAATACAAATTGATTTCAGTTTCCTGAATTCCTTTTGATCTGTTTACACTAAGGTTTGCTAAATGTAGCTCTGCTTCCTACTATTTGCATTGATTTGTTTTAGTAATAATGAGAAAAATGCTTGCTGGCTGCATGCAAAAAAAAAAATTGGTTTTCTGTGAACACATACTTTTCTACATGAGTGGCACAGGCTTCATGGAAAGACCCACAAAGTCACTTCACTATCACAGTTCACAGGACAAAAAGACCAAAACACAAGGACTCAAAAACAGGCAAGATAATGGCGGTTAATTGTAGTACAAAAGAGTTCAAAGAGTACAAAGATTGTAAGGCAAAATAACAGAGAAATTGCAGGTTCGCACAAGAATGACAGAGTCGCTCAGAAAAAAGCAAAGTCGGGCTATTTAATACACACATGAGGTAATAAAAGGAAGTGGAATCACCAGGGTAACAAGACACTGCTGAAAAAAATCAAGAACAAGACAGGAGGAGAAAAACTAAATACTAGACACAAGAGAGTGGTAAAATAACACAGGAAGTAACATAAAAGGGAAACTTTCTATACCTAACACTTACACAAAGAGTAGGTGACAAGATACAAGGAGGCTAGATTAACTCTGAGTAAAAAGAAACATAAATAACAACAAAACTCAGGATAGAAAAGTAACAAGGCAAAGCATAGAGGCATATTATGTATACAAAAGAAAAGACACCCCTAAAAACCAGGAATTCCAAACATTAACTAATAGAGTACAACCAAAATATAAAATGGTAATAATAAACCAAAATTCAGAGGCAAGAAAACACCTCACAAAACATTGGGTCCAAAACACAGGAACACTACATTTCCAATGTCCAAGACATTTTTCATGGTGTATAAACAGCATTATTTAAGTGTCAGCACTCTGATCTACACCATTACTCCATGACCCAACCCTTCACTCAGTAGCTCCTTAGTAGGTCCTGTTTAAGAGACCAGTTCGAGTGACACCAGTGAGCTTCAGATTTTTCTAGCCACTTAATTAAAAAAAGTATTGTTGGGGAAGGTAAAAGTGCAAAACCGTATGTCCACATTTGAAGAAAGTCTGAAAATATGAAAAAAACTATATATATTAATTCACAAAGAACACTCATAAACTTGTAGCTAACTGGAACATTCAACTGCCCATGGAAAAAAGCGAAGCAGGGGAGTATATATGCACAGAGCAATGACTGAATTGTCATGCATTTTAAAATAAAACAGGAAGTAACTTACACAAAATGCCAAATGCTGTATATTACAAAACAAATGCATGTTTTAAACTAACATTATCATGAAAATTAATAGCACCCTATTGCTTTAACTGTATCAAATAAAGATTTCTAGACAACAGGAGACATAACTACCAGCTTCAGATAAGTGAACACATTTTTCTTTCGCACTGTAAGAGCCTCTGTGCCTCTGTGACTGGAGGGGTTTGCTCCTGCTTCTGTGTTTAGACAAGCCTCATCAAGGATGTATGTTTTCCTGAAAAAACTCAGCATTCCAGCAGGACCATAACTCTGATTCACAGAGCAAAAGCCCAGAGAAAACATCTAAAGTCTGCTCTAGGCAACTGATGAAATACAGCATGACGATGAGAGCAAGCACAAAGAAAACCATTTGACACGTTATCTTGTTAGCGGGCCATGACCGCATTTGACAAAAGGCCTCAAAAAACACCTCTCATTATTCCAGGGCTCATTCTTTTTTTCATTTTGTACTTATTCCTGTCTTATTGGTACTATAGCACACATTTTCACTATGGCTAACAATACATTATCCATTAACACCCAGCATGAAACTACACGGAGAGAAAATCTTTAGCTCTTAAAATGTGTCACCATCTTAATGCCTGCTCCCCTGCTATTTCCAGTGTCCCTGTTTAATAGCCTTATTTTTCAGTCAGAGCTTGCAGTAGCACCCTCCTTGTTTTCCATTCAAAAGAAGAAACAGCTCGAAATGGGGGGGAAAAATGACATCTTGCTTTTAAAGCCACATTTATATTTTTTAACAGTGCAATGCTTCATTATAAGCAGCTTAAGAATTCATAAGAGGATTCTTACACTGACTGAAAAACAAATGTGAAGAGTTTCTTTTTCAGAGTGAATTCATGATCTACTTCCTATACTTCTCATTTTCCTAAATGTATAAACTGTGAATTTCACAGAGAGTAGCAGGCACAATGTTTGATATTAAGCCGACTGCCTGATCAAAAAATTGCTTGGATTTGCTTAAAAATGTTTTGTACAAATGGTGTCAAAGTAATGTTGCTCACTGCCAGACTTTTGAAATCTGATTCTCAGCACACATCTACTCATTTCCTTAGCTACCTATCTAAATTCAGGGTCACGGAGCGGCTGGCGCCTATTCCAGCTGACATGGGCAAGAGGTGAGATACAGAAACACACAATCAACCTAGCATGCATGTGTTTGGACTGGAGCACCAAGAGAGAGAATAAAAAACAGGTGTTTTGACCCCAGAATCTCCTTTTTGTGAGATTGTTGTGAAGTGACAGTGATAGTGATAACTGTGCTCCCCAGTTAGCACACATGAAAGAAACGACTGCTTCTAAAGTACTGTGCAAAACTCTAGAGCCACTGCTTGTTTCTTTGTATTTTAGTAGGAAAACAGGAAATAGCTGTAGCGATTTACTCAAACACTGGCAAAATCTGAGTTTGTGCGATTCTAACAAGCTCGAAAGAAAAGTATTTGGTATCACAACCTTTATTCTTCAACCAGTCTGAATTCCATTAGGTAAGTGTTTTTCACAGGCAAGTGAAATTTCTTACAAAGTCTTCAGGAATAGTACTCAAGGCATCTTAAAGGACATTCAGAGCTCTTCTTTCGATGTTGGCTGCCATTTATTCTGTTCCCAATAAAGATGATCCCACACTTCTTCAATAATACTTTGGGAAAGCCAATCCATGACTGACCTCAGGAATTCGCATGATAAGGTGGGGCCAGGTTTCACAAAGAGCTCAGCTGAAACCCTGGCTGATTGGGACCCACACCCAGTTTCACACCATCAGGGGGTCCTTTTGTCCCTCTGTGGGGGGACACTCCCACTAGGTTTAAATCTGGGACTCCCCACCATTTGACCTTAGAACTGAAGAAGCTTCTTGGATGAGAGGTGAAACATCTTCAAGCAACTTAAAGAAGTCCAGACGCTTTTCTTTGCAAGCTCCTTTGACCCCAATCCATGACTGATAGTGTTGTGCGTTTTTTCTATCCAGGTATGCACTTACTGCAGGGGCAGTGTGTTTGGGATCACTGTCATACTTGTAAATGAAGCCATTTCCAGATAGTATTGCATGGCAGATCCAAATTCTGATGGTACTTTTCTACACAACTCGATAATTTTTGACAAAATGCTGCCCAGAGCTGACATACAGCATTGCATTTTACAGATGCTTTACACACTCACTGTTGTACCTTTCTTCTGAAAATGTTCAAATTTGGATTTGTCACTCCATCAGACCTGCTGCCACTGATTTCAGTCCAGTTCTTATGTAACTGGGCAAACCTCATCCTGCTCTCTCTGTTTCCTTAAGAACATCTTACTGACAGCCAGACTCAATTTTTTCCCCCTATTTCTTAAGGACATGAAATACAGCTACTTTTAATTTGTTGTAGAGTTTTAGGTCTGTAGTGTTTAGGTCTCCCATTGCTTCTTTTGTCCTCCACTTGTCCAATTTCCTTACAATTGTTGAGGACATACTGCACACCATGCCAAGTTTTCGTCTAATATCTCAAGAAATGGTACAAAAATAGTCTATGTCAGTCATACTGTGCTATATTTGGCATTTTTTAAATTAACCTAAAGAACTGGAAAGAAAATGCATAAAGATACTTTTTTTTCTGTTATGCGTCATCACAGCAATAGTTTACCCTCAATTTAAGTGCCTTTCTAATGCCTGAATGAGTCATAGGTCGGTGTTAAGTGGCTTGAAAAACGTAAAACATTCCTCTGAAAATGGTCACTTATAGGGACTGGGCTAAAAATGAGTGCAAAAGCAGCCAATGGCCGAAGAAAAACTTTGAAAGACCTTCAAAAAAAACCCTGGAGAATTGAGGATTCATCCCACGAACTTAGAAACTCGCAGTAAACATTTATTAACTTAATTTGGCTGAAATAAGTGTTTGTAGTGTCAATCTAGCCCTACAAAGTCTATAAAGACCACAAATAATGTGCTTGTTTCTGTGTAAGAGTTACGTCTGGAATAAAGCCACTGAGGATCAACCGAGCTTAACAAAACTGTGCCAGACTAATCAGTGAACTGTGCTGAGATAACGATG